GTAGATGTGGCAGCTGCTTTGCCAGCACACACAGGGCACCTGCTGAGCTGCTGTCCAGGATTGCCAGGCTGCACACCCATCACCTGCTCTTTGAGATGCTGTCTGTAGATTTATTTTTCTTTCTGACCCTGGAGTCAGTTCCACTTGCGTCCATGAATTTTTGTAGCAAAAATGGAGAATCCACTTCCATTTTAACCAGAATCCCCCCAGATTTCTTTGTTTGATTGCTTTTTTGCAGTGCTGAAAATCAAATCCTGGGATTTGTGCATTATATGTAAGAGGTTTACCACCGAGCTATGTCCCCAGCTCCCCTGCCCCAGGAGTTTTATAACCCAAAGTTATAAAAACATGGTAGCCAAAGTGCTACCATGAGTGCTACTACGAAAGCTTCAGAATAGTCCGGAAATCTTTCCACTCAGGGAGACATGAGTCAGGTGATGGGAAAGACTCAGAGTTCTTCCAGGAACTTCTGGGACCAAAAAAAAAAAAAAAAAAAAAAAAAGACCTTAGAGAAAAACCTCCACCTGCGTAGCTCAGAGCCTTTGCTTTTGACCTGTTATTTTCACAGTCTTCTGGAAAGTAAGACCAAGAAGATGGAGATGTTGGTCCATTTAAAGGTGGATATCAGAGGCATAGGAAAGAGATTATAGATAGAGAACTGCAGATTTTTATGGATAAAGATGGAAAGGGCATCCTCGCACATACATGATATGAAAATAGGAATGATCAAATGACATTGGAACCAGTGATCCTGGTGCCCAGATTTTGGCCCAGGGCAATGTATTAGAATATTAGGCTATGATAGATCAGAATAATCTGGACAGGGATGGGGATATAGCTCAGTTGGTAGAGTACTTGCCTCCCATGCACAAGGCCCTGGGTTCAATCCCCAGCACCACACACACACACTCACACACACACACACACAAAAAAAAAAATAATAATAATAATAGGAATAATCTGGACAATGATAATATCCCCTTATTTCTGCCTTCCTCATTATTTCTCTCTGGTCATCTCAAGAACCACTAGGCAATAGCACCCAAGTTGTTCCAGGTGGGAACCCTATCCAACAGATCAAGGCTGGAACAGGCCAAGTGCATCCATATGACCACATTAGAGAATTCTATTAGGTTCTGAGCCCCTTCCCTGACTTTGGACCACAAGCCTCATTGCTTTGTGAGTCCCTGACTTAGAAGCTTGCCCTGCTCCTTTGACCTACAGGTAGAAGCAGAGACGGACCCTTACCTACCACCTCCTTAATCTGGGCTATTGGAGGGAGGAGGGGTGGTTGAGGCCTGGGGAGAAGAGTGGAATAGGGAAGACAAAAAGGTAATTGCACTTGTTGTTCTCTGAAAACTGGTTTCTCCCACCCACACACCCCAGACAGAGGAGGACAAAAAGAACCTGCTGCGGCTGCAGGACCTGGTGGACAAGCTGCAGCTGAAGGTCAAGGCCTACAAGCGCCAGGCTGAGGAGGCGGTGAGTTTGTGGTTTTCTCCCTTCTTTCATCAACATACCTACTATGTGTGAGAGCCCATGAGTATCTGCCATTGCCAGGCCTGGATGAAGGGTCAGCTCTAATCTTTATCAGACATTTATTCTATATGTCTGTGAGCTCTGAGCTGTGTCAGGTACTCTGAGTTCATGATGTAGTGACCCAGCACCTGCCCAACAGCTGCCCATAGTCCACACACCATAAACCCAAGGGAAAGCAGTGGAAAGGGATCATTGGTATTGAAGGCAGGAAAAAGGTCACAGAGTTAGAATCAGGCCTGAAAGGGAACCTGACTAGGCATAGCACAGTGAGGAAAACATCTGGTGAGCAGGAAAGTGTGGGCATGAGGTATGGATGAGCACATCTATGCAGGAAGTTCCAGGGTCAGCAAGCATCTGAGTTATGATTAGAATAGGTGCAGTGAAACTGGGCTCTGGGGTGGGGAGAGGGCCATGCCAGCCAGCATGGCATTTATCCTGGGCACTGGATGGCTGTGAAATATCCTAAATGCTGGACAAGTTTGAGGAAGGTGTAATGTCAGGTGCATGAGACCCTTTAAGGCTGTTGCAGGAACTTGGGTAAGAAGTGAGTGGTTCAGAGACAGGGAGCTGGTCTCAGGCCCCATCCTCACATCCTCCCCCTCCCCATAGGAGGAGCAGGCCAACACCAACCTGTCCAAGTTCCGCAAGGTGCAGCACGAGCTGGATGAGGCAGAGGAACGGGCCGACATCGCTGAGTCCCAGGTCAACAAGCTTCGGGCCAAGAGCCGTGACATTGGCGCCAAGGTGGGTCCCTCCCTTGGTCTGTACTAGTCAGACAGGAATCTCTGCAGAGAGCCCAATCCCATTCTCTCATCCGCTAAACTATAAGCACCCCTAATATGGGATCCCAAGATCACTGAAGCCTAACTGCCCCCACTTTCTTTAGTGGTTCTGGGGATTGAACCCAGGGCCTTGTACATGCTAGGCAAGTACTCTACCACTGTGCTGCATCCCCAGCCCTAACCTTTCCCTTTCTATGGGTATCTCTCTTTGCCCCTGAAAGCCCTAGTGACCTAGCACCTACCCAACATCTGAATCTTCCCCAAACCTTCCTCCCTCTTGCCAGCCGCCCCTCACAGCCCCTTTTTCTTTCTCAGCAAAAAATGCATGATGAAGAGTGATGCTGCCTCCAAAACCTGGCTGATGCTCACCCACAATAAACATGAGACCTGACACTGCTGTGCCTTTTTGTCCTTCCTGAAGCCCATCCTGGAGCAAGAGGGCTGGTGGCCACAGCCCCTCTATCAGAGCTGTGGGAATCAAAGCACCTCACATCTTTAGAGGAGGCAACCAAGCCCAGAGAAGTGAGGTGTTCTGCCTGGCAGCATGAGTCCTAGCTCTGCTTGGTCAATCCTAAGGAAAGGGGACAGAAATTTTAGCAGTGGAAGAAATAAAGGCACCAACAGGGTGAGCCAATTATAGACATTGAGATACAGAATTTTGGTGTCAAAGTGGAAGCTACCCTCTGCCAACCCATCTCTGAGGCCACTACCGGCATGAACATTGTCCTGGGATACCTGATCTTTGCAAACAAATTTTCTGCTGATGCCCAACATGGTTCAGAGCTGGCTGAGGAGGGAGGCACAGGGAAAAGATGTGGAAAAGGTCCTATTCTAGTCAGCTCCTTGGGAATAGCTCACAGGAATTACCAGCCTCTGTGGGTTAGCACCTCCCCATGAGGGTATCCCAGGATTCCAGGACCGGCCAATGCTGAGCCCATTCAGTATTACAGGGTGGATGAAGTGTGGCAATGCTCATCCATTTTTACTGTCACACAGACATGGACAAGCACAGAGGCATACACAGGCACTCACCACTGAGCAAGGTTCTCCTGTCTCTGAGCTTTTACTGAGGACCACTCACATAGTTGCTCAGGGTTCAGCTGGTTTAACTTCCTTTTGCTCAAAGTAAAGCTCTACCCTCCACTGGACTTTTTGACGAGGCTCTACAGACCACCTTCTCATTCCTTTACCTGGCACCCCGCTCCCCAACTCCACTAGTTGATCTTCTTCTATCCCTCCTTTCAGGTGGTGCCCATCCAATCACATTCCTGCCAGGTCAGCCACCTCGTCTTGAGAATTAATTATACATAAAACCAGAGAGCTGTGAGCAGAATCCAGGAAAACAAAATCCAGTTGGTTCTAGACTTGGAGAACCTGCCAGGAGAGGCTGTCAGATCTGATGAGGAGCCAGGGCAAAAGGATAGGAGAACAGAAAACAGGAGGCAGAAAAAGTCAATCCAAGAGAGGAGTGGGCAGGACCCAGGAAGCAGAGCACCACCCCAGAGCTCAAGATCCAAGGTCTAGGCAGGGCTTGGGGACTGGGGCCTGCAACTGTAAGGAGCACCCCAAAAGATAAAGGAAGGCATTTCATAACAGGAACAATCAAGCACTCGGGATAGGGAACAGAAAGTCAGCTGATTGCAGCCACTGAGCTGGGCCCTGTCTTAGACTGGGCAGGGAAATCCTGGCTGCACTGAACTCCATGGACCAGGCCAGGCTGATTCCCAGGCTGTGGGTGCTGCTCCAAACTCTTAGAGCTGAGCTCTCCCATAGCTTTCACTGTGGGAAGCCCTCCACCAGCCTGTCTCCCAATCTGTGAAGGCTCATGGACAAGGCTTCACCTCTGAATGCCTGATACCCAGCACAGGGACAAAAGGCACTCAGGAAATGTGTTCTGAGGAACCAGCAAGCTGAGAAATGGGCCCATTGGTGGAGAGAGCTGCAGATGAGGCTGGTCCATTGTTTTCAGAGCTACAAGGGAGCTTCATATCATACTGTATCTAGAACACCTGTCTAGGTGTTAGGACAGCTAGCTTCTAGCCCTAGTTCTGTCAACAAGTCAGTAAGTCATTTCTCCTGAGCCCCAATTTTCACTTATGTAGAATGAGGGTATTGTCCTGCTGATATCTAAGAGCTCTTCTACTGCCAGCATTTTGTGAATTTCTTCTTATGAAGCCCCTGACTGCCCTCTTCCCTGCCGCCTGGCGGCCAAGTCCTCCCCAAACCACAAGAGGGAGCTCTACACAAGCCCGGGGCAAGCACTCAGCTCAAGCCTACTGAGGTGAGCACAAGTAGATGGTGGGCACTTCCTCACATAGGAGACAGAACTCCAGGTGTCCAGTCACCAGGCACACAACAGAGTGGCCTTGAGCACAGCATTTCAGAAATCTCTCCCTCTGCTACCCCAGGCTGTGGGGCATTTTTTGCTTTGGTGAATATCTTTAGCTTCTTCAGGCTGGCTCCCACCTCCTCACTGCTTGGACCTGGTCTCAGATAGGGATCATGGCCTGCTCCAGGCAACATTCCCATGAATACTACTTGACATTCCTAATCTGCCTTAATTTCTTGGGAACAAGAAGACTCAATAGTAGGATTTGAATATTTTAATTTGGGGGCCCAGTTTCCTTCCCTCCCCTCTTCCCCTTCCTCCTCTGGACAGAACCTCATCAGGATCCAGGCTCAGGGCACCAGGCTCCACAGATACATCCCCACTGACTTCTTGGACACATGCCTCTGTAGACCTGGTGTGGGGGATGGTGGCCAGGGGGGTCAATGAATCCAAATGAGACATATCTGGGCTTCATGGTTCCCTGTGTCTGGATGGGCTTGGGAGACAGCCCAGGAGTCACTGCTGAGTCCCTGTGAAGATGGAACCAGGCATGGAAGCCATGTCAGGCTGGGGCAGCTAGGGTGGGGATAGGGGCATCTCAGGGAGCAGACTCACCCTGGGTGGCTCTGGGTGCCATCTCAGTCCGATAGATCTTGAAGGCATCATAGGCAAAGACCGATACCAGGATGATACCAAACACCTGTTGGAGGAAGGTCAACATGGCACAGCAGAGGCTATTGAGCCATTGGACCAAGAGAGAGGGAGGTGGATGTACAGGGAGAGGGGTGAGCCAGACCCCAGGCATTGGTTTCCACTTTGAACACAAGAAGTGTCCAAGCATCAGCCAGAGGTCCTAAGGAGCCAGAGTGCCCCACAGGACTAGACTCACGAAAGCAGCAATGGCAGCCCCTTCCCTGGAGGTCACAGCAGCAAAGGAGACCACGAGGAAGATGATGATGGCACTGAGGCAGCGGAGGAAGTCCTGGGGAGCCAGGGATGTCAGAAGGCAGGGAGAAATCACCCAGAGGTTTCCCAGGCTAGTCAGCAGCCTGACCCTCAGGGACCCTGAATTTCTATATAGGGATGGCCCTGGACACTTTCAAGAGAGCTCACAATGCTATCCAGGGAATAAGAACAGAGTCCACAGCAGCCAAGGACTGGGCAGAGTCAGCCCAAGCCAGTGGCTGAGCTTCCCAGCTTGCAGGCCCAAGCAGGGCAGGGCTGAGGCTGGGGCTCTGGTAAGTGAGAGGGCAGACTTAAGGGATGTATATCCTCCTTGTTCGCAGGGACCCTGTAGCTGTGAAATCTGTCTGGGTAAAAGCACAGTATGGAATACAGGGCATAACCTGGGACAAAGCCCAGCTGGGGTGTGGAAGTGGAGGGGAGCTGGGAGAAGAGAGGAAAACTCAGCAGTTGGATAGAAGGATGGACCAAGATGGGGTGAGGGAGGCAGGGTTCCTCACCAGACAGGGCCAGTTAAGCTGGTCGAAGCGCTGGTAGTACTGGGTGGCGTAGAAGAAGAGGAAAGTGAGCGTGATGAGGAACTCCAGCAATGCCGCGGCCATATAGGCGGAGATAGAGGCCGTGAAGCAGATGAAGATGATGAAGGTCAGGGCCTGCAGGACCGAGTATGGAGATCTAGCCAGGAAGGGGACACATGCACAGGCCAGACCTTGGCCTTTCCCTCCTCAGGAACCCCACAGGCTGGCACCCACCTCCCATCCTTGGAGAGGATAAGGAAGAGCTCTGGCATGTCTCCCGTTCCTGGTGTCGGGGACACCATTCCAGGCATTTGACCGTAGAGGGCCATCTCCAGCCCCAGGGACCCCAGTAACCCCAGCAGTTAGGCCAAGCTGCACGGCTACAGGGAGTACGAGCCTATGGTGATCCTCTAGAGTGGTGTCCCCCAGGAGTACACAGTAGGCCTCTGGAGTTGTGTCCACAAAGGCCCTGCACCTCAGGAGGCGGCCCCTGGCCCACAATGCTCTTTCCACTCTCAGATGTCCTAAACTTCTCTGATGAGAACCAGAGCCTTTATTCCACACCAAGAGAGAAGGCTTAGAAGGCAGGTGCTCCCCAGCTATACAGGATGACAGAGAGGCAGAGGCCTTGCTAAGGAACTGGGGGAAGATTCTTCCTGAAAATAGATGTTCATGGGCAGCAGCCAGCAGATAAAGCAGAGCTGTAGGAAATCTGCCCTTTTTGGTAGTTGGGTTTCTTAGACATGCCAACAAGTGGTCATCCTGGAGGCTGGGAAAAGACAAGCCAGCTTTTATCCCTGTCCTATCCCTATGTCCAATCCCTCCATGTCCCAGGAAGCTGCCCTTCTGTCTAACTTCAACTCATCCTGCTGCAACTGAAACCTGCTCCAAATGGAGAGGCAGCAAGAAAGCTGAGCAGGAGATGAAGAAGGTGCAGCTGGAGATGGGAGAAGCTCGAAAAGAGAATTGCTGGGCTGTGAACCTGGGAACCCAGCTCAGGGCTGGTGGGCCAGGGAGCTGGGGATGGGGGAGACAGAAGCACCAGATTGGGGAGGCAACTGTTACCAGCTCAGTTTCCAGCAGGATGCCTTTGAGAGAGGAGAAGAAGGTCTTGTCCACAGCGAAGCCCTGGAGCTCTGCAGCTGCCCCCTCCTCAGGGGGCCGGTCCCGGCGATTCCAAGCACTGAACATCTCCGTGGGGACCACTGGGCACAGCCCCACCCACCCACCCACACACTGCCACCAGCCCAGGAAGGGACCCAGAAACCCGGCAGGATGAGAAAGCAGACAGGAGCAAGAAGGCACTTGGATAAACCTGAAAGTGAAGCAGAGAGGTCTGCTGGGGGCCCAGGAAAGGCAGCCGCTGGGGAGGCCTCCCAGATGGGCCTTCACCAGGCTGCCCAGAGAGCCTCTGCTGTTGCCTGCACCAGCCCCCTAGGAGGACGCTGGGAGGGCTGAGAGGCGTGGCCAACCCCTCCCCTTACTGGGAGCCCAACCCAGCCTGGAAAAGGGGAGAAGGAAGACGGGGAGAAGGAGGTCAGAAAGAAACTGCAGGAGCTGGGAGTAAGCATTAGACAGGGACAAGAGTAAGACACCCCACAACACTTCTGTGACCTAAGCCTGAATAAGTTTATTTCCGCCTCCTATAACCTTAACCCTCTTCCTTGGCTGGTCCTTTCTCCCTTTTCCTTTTAAGGAGGGTGAGAGCTGGAGCCCAGCCCAGGCAGCACCCTCAGGACCAAGCTGCAGCAGAGGACAAAGGCGGATTGTTGGGGAGACAAGGGGGCGCTGTATGCCTGCTGCAGTGCCTCAATGGGCCTCTGTCTCTCCAGCATGCCAGGAGGAGGCCTGACCCTTCCCTGGTGTTCAGGGCTGGGTCAGGGAGCCAGAGAGTGAAAGGGATGGGAGGGTGCAACAGAAACTGCATGGCATGGAGAGCTGGCAGGGCGGGCAGTAGGTGAGGGCTGGTGGTAGGAAGGAGGAGGTGGTGGGCTGAGGGCCATGGGATGTTCGGGCACCATGGATGCCAAAGACAAATTAGGCCATTTTTAAATACAGATATTTATTTGGATAAATCTCTCCACATTCAATAACAGCTTCCTCCTCAGAATGATCCATGTCGAAGGATTTGTAACTACACCAGGACATGTGCAAAGTAGATGATCACTGAGTGTTTGATAAATGAATGAACGAACAAACAAATGAAATGAGGGTCAACAGGGCCAATAAGAAGAAAGTTCCTGTGCTGGGCCAGGGCAGCTAGAGATGGGAGGATAAGAAGAGTCAGGAGTGTGGCCTCCAGAAATGGGCAGAGCTTTGAAGGCCTTTTCTGAAAGGAAATGCCAGGACAACAGATTCCAGCAGCCACAAGCTGCAGTTGCTCCCTTCCAAAAGTGCTTCCAAAAAGTGCTAAAGTGGGGGGCTGGGGATATAGCTCAGTTGGTAGACTGCTTGCCTCGCATGCACGAGGCCCTGGGTTCAATCCCCAGCACCTCAAAAAAAAAAAAAAAAAGTGCTAAAGTGTGTGTTCTCCCCAAGGCCTCCATCCTGTCCGAGGAGCTTGCTGATGCAGGTGGTGCTTCAGAGGGACCAAGCATGTGGGTATCTTGGCCTACCATGGCAAGATGGTTGTGCACCTGGCTGCAGTCTTACAGATAAGGATCTGGCTTCAGGTAGGTGGCAGGCATGACTAGGCCATCACACGGGGCCGTACACACACACAAGCCAAGGAGACGCGGTAGAGCCTACGCTCCAGGCAGTAGCCATGGTGGGTGCCCCTTTCACCATGGCATGGACGCCGGTAGAAGACGGTCTGGTTGTGGTAGAGCAGCTCCGAGTTGCCCAGAGGGTCCATGTGAGAGCCTGTCTGTAGGCTGACGCAGTGTGGACACAGGCAACGGGCGTGATACAGATCCTGGGGGAGCCGGTTCAAGTCCCTGTCCAACCTGTGGGGATGCAACTGATCAGTCCCTGGAGAGATAGGCCAGAGCAGGGAGGGCCAGGTGGGATGGGGCTGCTAGAGGAAAGACATGGGGGCCTGACTTCTTGTCTCAGTTCTGGCACCCACATGCTGTGTAACTTTGAATAAGTCATCACCCTGCTCTCTGGGATTTATCTTCCCTGACTGAAAGTGAATGTAGGGGACAAAAGAGTGGTTTTCCACTTGGTCCTGTCCTGGAGCCCTTCAGGAGGCAGGGGAAGGTAAGCAGGCTTCTGCCTCTGCCTCCACCAGACCAAGTTCTTCTTCCATATGATATCGAGCTAGGCTTTAGCGTGAGGTTTCTTAGGGTAATTATTACATTTTAGGTCTTTTAAAATTATAATTGTTAAGCCAGGCACAGTGTCGCACGCCTGTAATCCCAGTGGCTCTGAAGGTGGAGACAGGAGGATCTCGAGTTCAAAGCCAGCCTCAGCAAAAGCAAGTTGCTAAGCAACTCAGTAGAACCCTGTCTCTAAATAAAATATAAAATAGGGCTGGGGATGTGGCTCAGTGGTGGAGTGCCCCTGAGTTCAATCCCTGGTGCCCAAAAACTAAAATAAAATTATAATTGTTTCAAAAGTAAAAACTACTCTGACAGCCAAGTATAAAATAATTTTAAAAAAGAAAGAAAAAGAAGACAATCTCTCTCTCCACCAGTTCTACTTCCTAGAAGGAGCTGTTTCCTATACCCACAAGACACTACCAAAGCCTATATTATAAGTACACTTAACAATGCAGGGAAAGACTTCTTTTCCTATTCTGAAAAGATTTTGTGGCAAAAAAAAAAAAAAAACTTGAAAAACACAGAAAGAGTAGATACTCCAAAGGTTTGTATTCCAACAGTGGAGCAGGAAAACCCCCATCCCAGGTTGTAAGACTGTTTTCCATACAGAAAAACCCTGGGAGACTGGGGTCCACCTTCTATAGCATTTCCCAATGGGTTCCCTAATAAACACCATTCAAGAAAAGGTTCTGAGGTCAAATGAGTTTGGGAAACATTGAATTTAATGGTTCCTTTTCTGCAGACTTCTTGCAGATTTTAGTGTGTAAGGGGCACTATAAATCTCAGAGTGGGGGCTGGGGATGTGGCTCAAGCGGTAGCACACTCGCCTGGCATGCGTGCGGCCTGGGTTTGATACTCAGCACCACATACAAAACAAAAATGTTGTGTCTGCCGATAACTAAAAAATAAATATTAAAATTCTCTCTCTCACTCTCTCACTCTCTCTTTAAAAAAAAAATCTCAGGGTGTGGGGACTGGAGCTGCTGCACCCAAACTTACTTGACATCACTTTTCTGAAGAGCAGCTTGTAGAACAAGTGTTGTACATAACAGAATGGGCAAGGCTGACTAAGTGGTTATCAGGGAATCACAGCCTCCCAACCAGTGGTCTGAGCCCTAGTTCAGTCAGCCATCTGGCACCCAACCTCCCCCAACAGGCTTTACACCATCAGATTTGTCCCAGAACCAACTGACCTTCTGAGACCACTCAAAAGCATTATGAATTGTTGACTCCACCTGAGACCTAATCTCAGTTAAAGTTGGCCCCCTTCCTACCCCCAATAAACTTCATCTATTCCCAAAGTCACTAAACAGAGTCATATGTATGGGGAGTGGAAACACAGAACCCCCTAAAAGGACATAAAGACAAAAGAATTATGGTTGGGATCCCTAAGACCCTAATCTTTAATATTTTTTAAATCTCTGTCCCTATTGCAGTATTTCCTAACATTTTTTACATTATGGCCCAAATAGAGAATTATAATATTTCTGTGGCACACTGAGCAAAAGAATAAGATAACATTATCATGATCAAAGATAAGCATCCCAGGGTTCTAGATGCTGGGTTTCCCCCAAGAATTGAGGGTTTTACAGTCTTCATATACTTAAAACCTATTCATGACCCAGGGAAGTTACATTTGGTACTGGGATGCTTTGTGCCTGTATCATACCATATTCCCTAATATTTTAGTTTTTTTAAAAAAGTGGGATATTATAGAAAAAGAAGGAGAAGGAGGAGGAAGAGAAGAAGGAGAAGGAGAAGGAAAAAAAGTAGAGCACCAACATTAAGAACAGATTTTACATATGTGATTTCATTTGATCTACATATTAGCCTATGGGGTATAATCTCATTTTACAGATTAAATAAATAAATAAAATAACTTGGGGGGAGTTATTGGCCCAAGGTGACTAAATGGGAGTCACAGGAAGGACTCAAATCTAGGCTTGTTAGTTTCTGAAACTTTATGGCCTCTGAGATCAAAGAGGGAAAGTAGAATTGGGTAGAACTTGCCTGCACCTTCACACAGCCCTCACACACACACACACACACACACACACACACACACACACACACACAGGAAAGCACAGGCAGGGTTTTCATTTGGGATAGGGTGGCAGACTCACTCATATCTCCAGGGGGAGATGGCCCTGCTATTGAGGGGTCCGTCTTCACTGGCCCTGCAGGATTCTGGGTGCTGGGCAAGGCTCTCAGGCTCCGGGGGAGACATGAACACAGTTGGCCCCTGCAACAAGTCCTCAGAGAGATCCTGCCCTTTGCTGGGACCACAGCTGGGCCAGTGGCTGCAGTCCTTCCGGAGTCGAAAACTAAGGGTGTGGGTTCCCAGCATCATAGCCAAGAATGCGACCACCTGGAGAAAAAAGCCAGTGTGAGAACTGCTCTCACCTAATCCAGTCGCTTACCATCCAAACGTCTCCCCCAAACCTGGGAGCCTGGCCTCCCTCAACCCTCAGCAACACTCTGCTCAGTTTCCTCTCAGCAACCCCTCTGGCAGCATGTGCACTCACCTGGTACATGCTGGATGCTGCTCAATCAGCCACTGGTGGCGGTGCCCTGACTGACAGGCCTTCTGGAAGCAGGCTGACTGGAGTGGTTTGGGAGTCCTGGTTTTATTTTCAGCAAACCTGTTTTGTTTATTCAAATTTATTTCCACTATCGTTTGGAGGGAGTGGCTTGAGATTAAAAAACAAAACAAAACTGAAAAAACCTGAAAGCATTTCCAAAAGCTGTTTAGAATCTACCTTCATGGAAGTTGTGGTGACATCATTATCTGTCTGGTAGCTGATTGGGTAAGCTTTGCTCGTTGCGCTTTTCCGGGTGTGGGGTCAAAGCAATAACGTTCTGCTATTATGTATCTTTGTAACTATCATTATGGGAATTTTCCGGGTTGGTTTGCCACCCTAAATTATGGAATATCATTGGCCTTTCCTTCAAAGGCCTCATTTCCGTGGTCTCTGCTACTCTTCCCCTTCTTCAGATGGCCCTGACCACCATGATAGTAAATATTTCCCTTTCTCTCCATCTCCTTTGACCCCCCTCATCCCCCTGGTTCTCTGACCTCTTTCCATCTTTGATGACCGCAATTCCTATGACCCCATCATCTATGGCTTCTCCCCCATTGTTCAGACTTCTCCCCAAAAGTTCAGTAGCTGCCCCCTGACTTCCCCTCACCCTCTCTAGTTGCTGCCTCAGCCCCACCCCCACACTTTCCCTGGCGTCTTCCTTAGAATAGGGACACAGGCCTCCCCCCACAGGACTGCCAGAAGACCCTGATCCTGACCCCCAACCCCATAAGTTTGTTAGCTAGATGGGCAGGGCCTGATGGAAGAAGGTGTGGGTGAGTGTTCCCATTGCACAAATGAGAAGGTGGAGCAAGGAAAAGGAGGAGCATGGTAACAACCTTACCTAAGTCCTGAGAGGAAGTCACCTTCACTCACAAGGCCTTGAGGACAAGGCTCATGGCAGGAATAGCTGCCACTCTCAGGCCATGGGGGGACCCCACTCAGTCTCACTCCAGTATCATGATGCACCATCCACCAGAGGGGATATACATGCTTCAGAAAGGATGACCCCAAAGACACGGGCCAGTGGGGGTCCAGCATGCTGAGGAAGACTGCAGAAAACAGACCAGAGTTCACTTCCTGCCCATTGACCACCCCACCCCAACACACTCATACACAGACATTGTCTCTAGAATAATGCTTCCTGATTTGCATGTGCTTTCCCTCAGAAAATACTCCTCTAGTAACCAAGGACTCGGGAAATAAACAGAAGGAACCAGGAATAACTTTCTGTAGAGGGGGATTCCTCCAAAAGCAGCCCTAAAGGAGAGTCAAAATGTCAGAGGGCATTCTGGAGAATTGGGATAAGCTGTTCTGGTGAGTCTTGGTGGGGTCTGGAACAGTAGAGAAAGGCCACTTTGGGGAAAAATTGTGGTGGCTGGGAGAACAGGAGCACTTGGGAAGAACAACAAGGTCAGGAATATCATTACCCCACTCCTACTACTCACCGTCAACCCCTGTGCTCCCAGACACCCTCTCCTTTTTATCTACTGTTGGCCGGGCTCCTGTGCACTTACACATTGCCAAGGAGGATGATAAGCCATGGATATGCATCATCTTACTTTATCCTGACAATAAAACCAGGACATGGAAACTATTATCTCCATATTACAGGTGAAGAAACAGACCCAACGAAATTTAGTCATTTAACCAAGGTCACATAGTTAGAAAGAGGCCAAGCTGGTTTTCCATTCTAGGCCTGATGAACTCCAAATCTGAGTCCCTGACATATAAGCTAGGCCAACCCTCAGTGGCTGCAAATGGAAGGGGAATCACTACAATGAATACTTCAATTTGAAACAGACTAAATTTGGGGGTCACCTCTCTTGTTGAGAGAAGGAAGCTTGCCATCCCCAACCCTGTAGACACCAAAGTGGGAGAGCAGAGGGAGAACCGAGATCTACCCCTTGCTCCCATCCTAACATAAGATGACTAAATCTATAAATGTATGTCACCTGGCTTTTGTTTCTTTAAATTGTAACTGCTTCTGTGGGGCCTGTGGAGAAAAGCAATTTCGTTGCTTTTCCTTAGTTCTATCAAAGTATATAAAGCTCAAATCCAGACAGTCAGGATCCAGGAATAAAGGTCTCTGGGCTAGACTGCCAGGAACATACCCACCTAGGCTTGAGTTGCACAGGTCTTACCTGTACCTGCCCAACACCACGGGGCATTCAGCCCTGCTAGAGGGGATCCTGTGCTCCAGATTCCTGTTGCCCAGCCTTTGTCTGACACATGGTCTCAGGGTGGCTTCTGGTGTTCCTGGACAATCCCCAAACCTAGAATGGGTCCCCAGGTATAGTGCTATTTCAGAAGAACAGTTTTCTTATGGGTCTCCTCTAAAGGATCAGAACCCCAGGGCAGAGGGAGAAGAACAGGAGTCTGATCTTGGCTCAAATCTCTTGATCCTGCAGAAAGGGGTGCTCAAAGGAGCTGGAAGTGATCCCAGCTGCTTGCTTCATTTGCTGACACTGCAGAAAGGACTCAGCCTGGGTTACTGGGGACACTGCCCTTCAGGAGAGGCCTTTAGGGAATCTCCCTGCCTCTGTACCTCAGAGCAGAGGAAACCCCTAGAAGGTAGAGGGAGGGCCCCTTCCAGAACAGAGTTTCCCCCAGGCTTGGCTTTTTCCATACTATGAAGACTGGGCCTGACCCAAGAACCTGTTCTCTGAGCCACATGTGCCCACCCCACCCCATTTGCTCAGAGCCTCTATCCTTATCTCGGTAGCAGCTTTGTGGAACTCTTTAGGGTGACTCCCTGCCATGAGAAACATTTTCCAGAGGGTTTCCTTCTGGGGTGACTAGTTTTGGAATCCCTGAGTCACTTCAGCTTCCAGGGAATCCCTGGGGGAGGTGTGGGGATGTGGAGGTGGCAATAAGGACAATGCTGAAGGCAGAAGCAAAGGAAAATTCGTCCAGCACCTGACATCAAGAGTAACCTCCCAACACGTCCCCACTTGCCTGGGCCTGACCTGACAGCCAAAGAGGGCTTTCTGGGATTCCTACCTTTATGTCCCTGGAAAAAGTGGTCAGCACCTATCAGGAAAGGGCAGGGAAGGTGTGATGGAATTTACCTCCCACCCTTAGCCTGAGAAGGTTCTTGGGGCTCATAGGGAGTTAGAATATAGCAGTCCTGCCCCTTCTCAGAAAGATTTTCAATTTTTTACCTGCTTCCTCAAAGTCTCAGGCCAGCTCCTATCCTCTCTTGACTTTACGTTCTCTCTCTGACATTTCCTCCTCATTTGCAGAAGTGTGTGTATTAGTGAGGTGGTGCCGGGGGTTGCCCTGGATGGCCAGAAAGACGCTAACCAGTCTAGCAGCTCTGCACCTGAGTTCCTGAAATAGTGTTGAATCCAGAGGACTCAGCAGTGTCCACTGATGTTCATCAGCACTTAGTTCGTTTGAGGCCGGAACACTGGTTTTATTAAAATGTTAAATTATACCAGATACGGTGGTGCCTGCCTATAATCCCAGTTAGTCAAGAGACTGAGGCAGGAGGATTGTGATTTCAAGGCCAGTCTGGGTAACACAGCAAGACGTCATCTCAAAATACAAATGAACAAAATAAATAATGTTGAGATACTTCTTCACCTGCTAGTAAGTATCTGCTGCCCTCAGACTTGGAAACCCCCCATACAACACACCTCCTGATCTAGCCACTGAAGTGTAAATACCTGGCATGGATGGAGACCTCCAGAATATTGTTTCTCTGTTCTGACTGGTAGGTGATAATGATAAACAGGTAGGTGATAATCTCTGTTCTGACTGGTAGGTTGCTAATTTGTTTATTTATTTATTTTTGGCACTGTAGATTGAAGCCAGGGGTGCTTTACCACTGAGTTACATCCCCAGCCCTTTTTTATTTTTTTATTTTGAGACAATGTCTCACTAAGTTACTGAGGGTCTTGATAAATTGAGGCTGGCCTTAAACTTGCAATCCCACTGCCTCTGCCTCAGAGTCACTGAGTGCCTCAGAGTCACTGAGATTAGAGGCATATACCCCTACCAGGTGCTAATTACTCTTAAGATATCACATTTTTTTAATTTTAATTTTTTAAATTTACATATTACAACAGAATGCATTACAATTCTTATTACATATATAGAGCACAATTTTTCCTATCTCTGGTTGTATACATAGTATATTCATACCAATTTGTGTCTTCATACATATACTTTGGATAGTAATGATCATTCCATTCCACCATCATTAATTATCCCGTGCCCCCTCCCTTCCCCTCTAAACCCCTCTGCCCTATCTAGAGTTTGTCTAGTCCTCCCATGCTCCCTATCCCACTATGAATCAGCCTCCTTATATCAAAGAAAACATTCAGCATTTGATTATTTTGGATTGGCTAACTTCACTTAGCATTATCTTGTCTAACTCCATCCATTTACCTGCAAATGCCATGATTTTATTCTCTTATTGCTGAGTAATATTCCATTGTATATATATCAATGTTTATAGCAGCACAATTCACAATTCACAACAGCTATACTGTGGAATCAACCTAGATGCCTTTCAGTAGATGAATGAATAAAAAAAATGTGGCATATATACACAATGGAAGATATTTAACTACAAAAATGCTTTAGCTCAGGAGCCTGCCTTCAAGAAGAACTCAGGGAGTCACATGGAGAATCAGAAGTAAGAGGACAAAGAGCCCAACAACTCAGTACTCCAGCACATCGATGGTGCCTCCCCAAGGAGGACCATTATGGTTCAAGTCTGGAATATCTGCCAAAGGATCATGTTGAAAGCTTTGTCCCAGTGTAGCAATGTTCAGAGGTGGGACTTTTGGGAAGTGATTGGATCATAAGGGCCCTAACATCATCAGTGGATTAATCCACTGATAATTCATAATTTGATGGCATTATTGAGAAGTAGTGGAAACTGTAGGAGGTGAGACCTCGTTGAATAAAGTGGGTCACTGGGGGTGTGTTCTGGAAGATTTATCTTGTTTCTTCTTTGCTTTCTACTTCTTGGCTGCCATGAGGTTAGAGTTTTTTCTGCTATGCCCTTCCACCATGATGTTCTGTGCCACCAGAGGCCCAAAGCAATGGAGCCAGCCAATCTTAGACTTGAAACCTCTGAAACCACAAACCAAAATTAATCTTTCCTCCTTTAAGTTGTTTTTCTCAGGTATTTTTGTCATAGTAACAAAAATCTGACTAACACAAAGACCTTCAGCTTACTTAGCTGTGTCCTATAGCCATAGATGTCTGAGTGCATTTATCAATTCATCAAATATTTATTAAGCACCATATACACCAAGCACTACTACTCTAAATGCTAAGAATGCATAAGAAGATAAAACAAACAACTCTTTTAGAAAGAGATAGATAGTAAACAATGAATCAATAATTTCTGATAATAATAAATGTGATGAGGAAAATGAAAAAGTGCTATGAGATAGGGTTACAGGGGGATGGGGAGGGGAGAGGGAGGGCAACTGTAACTCAGAAAGTCCGGGGTTGTGGTATTTAATGTGATGATGGAAAGGATCTGGGAGAAGGAAGAGGGAGCAAGATGTGCAGTGTCCTAGAGATGGGAAAGGGCTTGGCATATTTAAGAAACAGAAAGGACAGTGTGGGTGAAAAAAACAAAAGGTGAAAGGGAAGAGAAGATGATGTGGAAGAGGAGGTAGGAATCCATCACTTAGAGTCTTAACAGGGCATGGTGGAGCATTTGAATTTTATTCTAAGGTCAGTGGGGAGGTATTGACTGGATTCAACCCTATCTATGAGTTTCTTGAAGGCAGACATCATGTTCTCCATATCCTGGTGCCCCCTCAGGGTTACCACCAAATAACAATAATAATAGTTGCCTTTGCCAACATTTATATATAATTATATATAATGGGTCAGGTGCTATTCTCAGGATTTTCTTAATGCTCACAAGCTAGTATTCTAGGTTCCATTATTATGCCCATGATTATTGTCCTTTGTGGACAAGAAACCAGAGGCTGCAACAGGTCACAGAGCCATCACGGTCATTAGCTAGTGTTGGAACCAGGATTAGAACCAAGACAGTCGGGGTGCTGTGGGTCCAAAGAGATGAGGGTTAGAAGAATTAGCAAGTACCCGAGAGGTTTTGAATAATAAGAGGGATCAAAGAGACCCAGGAAGTCCCAAGGTGAGGTGAGGAAGAAACCAGCTGGTTGGACCCTCCTAGGAAGAGGAAAGATGGGGAGAAGACTGGAGCCCTAGAAGCCAGATGGAGGGTTCCTGCCTTTCTATTCCCTAACATGTCTAGGACAAATCTTTGGAGCCCAACTTATTGAGGCTACTACCCACCCAAGGCCTCCACAACCTCCCAAGCCTGGACCCTAGAGCTCCTCCTGACAAAATTCAAATCACATTAAACTTTTGCTTGCAAAGAAAAGGGTAAAAGGGTATAGAACATGAGAAAGGCTCCTCCTGCCCTCATTCAAGACACCTTTTCAGCTTTCACACCATGGGGAGCTAAATGTAAAGAAGAAAGTATGAAAGAAGAATAGTGTGCCAAGCTCTTTTCATGTATTTACTTCCTGCCAAAATTATTGTTAAAGATGAGAAACTAAAGTTGGGCACAATGGTGCACGCCTGTAATCCCAGCAGCTCGGGAGGCTGAGGTAGGAGGATCTCGAGTTCAAAGTCAGTCTCAGCAAAAGTGAGGCACTAAGTAACTCAGTGAGACCCTGACTCTAAATAAAATACAAAATAGGGCTGGGGATGTGGCTCAGTGGTAAAGTACCTCGGGTTAAATCCCCAGTACAAAAAAAAAAAATGATGAGGAATTGAGATTCCAAGATGGTCTATAACTTGACCAAGGTCACACAGCTAATAAACCAGTACTCACTTCCAAGACTGATTGGCACCATTCCATGCCTGGGCATTCCAGAAGCACAGTCTTCTCATGCTGATGTGCATTCTATTGTCTATCACCTACACTGCCCAGGCACTGAGTTCCACTGCCCAGCTCCCAAGCCACTGTCTTGCCTGGTCCTAACAGCTTCCTCTCCTCTTGGCCTCCATCTACTTTCCTGTGCCAGGTAAAGCACTTGTCTTTGTGGACAGAGTACCCTACCCACCTCCCCTTGATTCCAAATTTGCCTTGGCAGACCCTGAGCAAAGATCATACCCAGTCTCTCTTTAGCAGCAGGGTGTCCGTGTACCTAACAGCCAGGCCCACCAGAACTGGTGTCTGGAGGAGGATGAAAGTCTTCTCTAGTGACTCTCTCTAACTAGACTGAAGCTGGAATGGAGTAGCTCTCCTTTCAGATGTATCTGGAAATTTAAAAGTTCCTTTATGTCCTAATGGAGTCTCAGTCTGTTCCAAGTTCCTAGCCCCATGCCCTGACCGGGTTTGAAATCCATCACTGACAACGAGGCTCAGGGCCAATAGTGTTTGACCCCATGTTGACACCAGAATCTCTCACTAACCCACCCCACAGATTCCACCTCTTCCCTCTGCAGGGGGTCCTTCATAGGTGCCCAAATAATAGGGTGAGGAAGGGGCTGGGGCAGGGAACCTCCCCACACAGAGAAACATGTGGATGTGTGAGCCTCCAAAATGTGAGGGTGGAGGGCCTTAAATTATACTTCTGATATTATCTCCAAATGAAGTTATGCATACGTCCTTGTCTATTTTATGTTTGAAGTGCTTGTTAAACATAAATAGTGAAAATACACTACAGCATTTCATTCTGATAGCATCTTGCTTTTTAAATACCAGGGACCTCAAAAGTGGAAAATGGGCTTCCCCCAAGCCTCAGGAGGCTCTGTTGTGTGCTCCAAAATAAAGATCCAAGAAGCAGGGCGGTGGGAAGGCAGCCGGGAGAGATGTAGGAGGCTAATAACCCTGCCCTCGGCTGAAACTCCTGGGAGTTAGATCCGCAGACCCTCTAAAAGACTTCTGCCCTTTTGTGCCTGTAGTCCCCAATCCTGCTTCTAGAAGCAGAAAGAGCCAGGCAGGCTGAGGAAGGGCGACAGGCCCAGACTAGCAGAGGAGGCTAGGAGGCCGCCCAACCGGCCCGCCTTGCAGATCTGGGGCCAGACGTTAAGGCTTCGTGTTTTCTCGCCAGGGCCAGAAACCATGTCCAGCGCCAGACTCCCGGCCGGTGCCCCGCAAGACCGGCCGAGCTAAACCGGCCACCCCTGCAGAGACAGCACTAAGGAGCTGAGAGGCTAGGCTAAGGACCCCAGCAAGGCGGAAGGAGCGCGCTCCCTCCCCACGAGAAAGACAGATGTGGGGCTAATGAAAGGGAGACTGAGAGGCGCGGGGCTGGCGGGGGAGAGTGGGGGCGTGGCAGGGAGAGCGAAGCTCCCAGGAAGGAGAGGACCAGACCACCCGGAGGTCTGCGGAGAGGTCCAGAGGAAGAAGGCACGGGAGAGAGGGGCTGGACTGGGACCGGCAGTTTGGCCCCAAGGTCCTAAACTGAAACTCAACACCCGCCTTTGGAAGGATCGTCCCCTTTTCTCCTCCGCCCCTTCCCTTTCCCTCCCTTTCCCCCTCCCTCCTTTCTCTTAATCCCCAGGATTGAGCCCCGCGCTGGAGAGGAGAGGGCCCGAGGGGAGGAGGAAGAACTGCATTGAAAGGGAGCCGGGAGCCGGGGAAGGGGAGGGAAGGGAGCCGCGAGCGAGGGGTGAGCCGGGGGGGCCACGCGCGGCCCCCCTGAAGCCTACCCAGCCCTCTTGGTGTCCCCACCCCGACCCTAACCCCGGTCGAGCCTACAGGACCCTAGCCCCTGCCTCTCCTTCGCCTTCTCTTTGCTCCTTCGGTTGCTTGTTGGCCTTTCTCTTCTTTCCCAAAGACACTTGGGAGCTGCCTCAACCCCTGGGGCGCGCCGAGGGGCCCTGCCAAGGGTGCGCGCGGTGGGGGCCGGCTCCGGGTGTCAGGGGCCGAGGGTGGGGGTGGGAGCTCCCGGCCTGGCACCCCTGACCGAAGGTGGAAGGGGGCTGGGCCCCTTTGCTCCCTGGGCGCAGGAAGGCAGTCCCGCCTCTTCGAGTTGTACCTGCGTGCTGCTTGCTGTGACCCGGGCGCCAGGCGTCCCCGGACCCCTGGGTGCGCTGAGAGCTAGTGTGGAGAGTGAGAACCCGCCTCATCGCCGCGGGTGCGAGGTTCTGGGCAGAAAACAGCCACTCCGGCAACCCAGCCCAGCGGCTACGCTGTTGGAGGACTTGGGCGCCAGTCTGGCTTCCTTTCGCCAATTTGGGCGAGTTTGAAGAGGGACAAAAGGCTCGGTCCTCGCTGGTCCTTCCTCCCAGCGGGGTCCTGTCACAGTGCCCTGGGCCTCCACTACCACAGCCCTGGGATTCCTGGTCCCCGGCGGGGCGCGGTTGGGAAGGGTTGGCCCCTAAACTTGCTCATCCAGCCCAACCGTCCCAGCGGCTTCTTCCAGCCCTTGGGGCTGTCCTGAACCTCCTGGACAAGCGTCGAGCAGCCCCAGATCCCGCCTCCTCGCCAGCCCAGCCCTGGAACGAAGATTTCGGCCCATGCGGGCCAGGGAGGCCTCTGCGGCCTAGGGCAGGCAACTCCGGGGGCCTGGCCAACCCAGCGGCCCCTGGGAGGCCGTGGGGACAGTTCAGAGCGCGCCCCTTGGATGAGGTCCCGCAGCGACGCCCCGGCCCGCCCCTCTCCTCCTCCTGCCTGGCCAAACTGCCTCCCATTTGGGAAGTTTTGTGGGTTTTCTTTCTCCTCCAACCTTGGCGGAGGCCACTTCTCAAGTGCCACAGCCGGGGGTGGCCTCCTCGCTTGGAGGCCGCGAAGCATGGTGCGGGGCAGCCACCGCTGAAGTCAGCGAAATCGAGCCTGGCCTGAAGCAGGCGACGCTGGAGGCCAAGGCCATGGCCATTGCCACGTCGGTGAGTCCACCAGGGAGAGGAGCAGAAACCTGCGGGGCAGAAACCTGTCCAGCCTGCCTTGACTCCTGTAGCGTTTATTTCTGCCCTCTCTTTGTCTGTCTCTTTGATCGATCCCTTTCTCCTCCAGGAGGCTGTGTCCTATCACTTTTGTTTGCTTTCTCCCTCTCACTCATCCCCTGTTCCTTCGGCTCCTGGGTTCCGCCCCTCCTCTTCTCCCCCTCCCCAAGCTCTTTCTTTCTAGAGGTTGCTGCTGGATAGAGGGGAGGGGGCAAGGGTAATCCCAGTCCTATCTGCTCCTTTCTGGGCGGGAACAGATGGCCACTGGTGGTTGGCAGGGATTTGTGATTGGGAAGCAAAGTAAACGGGGTTGAAAGGACAAGCTGCTCAAGGAAAATGGGAGGCCAAAGGACCAGAAAGACCTATTTCTGGAGGAGGGATGGAGGAAAGGAGGCAAATAGAGGAAAGGGAGAGAGAATATAGAGGGAGGAGGGGAGGTGATGTCAGCCTGCCTCAGGCCACTTTCAGGGGACTAAGGACAAAGGGAGGAGACAGCTGGCATGATGGGACAGTGGGAGGTGGCCTCCCAGAAAGCTGCAGTGGTCCCCTGCCACCTCCATTTAGCCAGCCATTCCCTAGCAAGTCAGCTGGGCCACTAGGCGGGAATAGAACAGGGGCCACACCCATCAGCACTCATTCCAAAGCAGCTCTGTCCTGGGTTTCTACAACTGCAAGGCCCAGAGGTTTTGCTCCATTGGACAGAATTCAAACCTAACACAGGGAGGAGCTCTCCACTGACCCACCCCTCTGCTTTCTGTCCAGCACTCTGAGTAGTCTGAATCCAGGCAACTTCGCCTTTCTGCCCTTCCCTGGCCTCTGGCTTGAATTTCCAGGAAAAGCAAGGTTAACACCTGCTTTCTGATCCCCTCTGAAGGGGGACTCTGGGAGTATTTTGAGAGTGGAAAGAAAAGCAGAGAGCCACCCACACCCTCCCATTCCTCTTAAGGACCAGTTGGATTTGGGCTCCTTCCCAGATCAAACTCCTGTGAGTTCCTCAATCATGATGACTTGAAGACACTAGCCCAGTGCTGGGAGAGGGGGAGAGCTTCTGGGAGTACTTGGGCACAAGGTGATGATTCTGTAACTTTGCAGTCCCAGGAGGTAGAATTTTTTTGGTGGGGTGGGGGCATATTTATGCTGAGTAAGCTCAAGAATCTTTAATAATGCTAGTAATAATGACCTTATGCTAAAGTTTTTCACATTTTGTTTTTTGAGATGAGGTTGATGTTGCCTAGGCTGGTCTCAAGCTCCTAGAATCAAGGGATCCTCCTGCCTCAGCCTCTCAAGTAGCTAGGGCTATAGGCTCATGCCTAGCTATGTTGTGGGTTTTTTTAAGGAATTATCTCATGCAGTCCTCAGAACAGCCTTGTGAGGATACTACTGTCCTTATACAAAAACCGATATTTGGATAAAAAGATGGAATTCTACAAAGGAGGAAATTAAGGCTCACAAAGGTCAAACAACCTGACCAAAGTTACCCCGTGAGAAAGGGACAGAGCCAGGACTCAACCCCAGGTCCACCTGCCTCTTGAACTTTACTTTTAATCCCCTGACTATATGCAAAACACTGATTTATAATTTACAGTTAGAAAGAAAAGTGTGGAGCCAACCAGGAATTTGTGTTATCTGATTAGCATTCCCTTACCCCACCTGCCATGGGACAATATCCTTTAGGAGCTACAATACAATTAGAAAATAGTTGGATGCATTTGGAATCAAGCAAAAGGAAGAGTCCATTTATTAAAACCACTTAGCCATTGTCCACCAGCAGAAAACACCAGCCAAGAGGAACATGCACTGGTGCTGACTGAGCAGGGATTCCTTCTCCTCACAGTCTGGTGGCAGTCTGCCTGAGGTCTTTAGCTTGAAGGTGTTTGCTGAATTAGTGAGTTCACATTATTACCTGGCTAGGAGCTGTTCTCCAACACTACTGTATATGCCACCACTGCCCAAGATCCTACCAGCAGGCATGGTCCTTTAATAATATATTTTGACATTTTGAATGGTTTAATTTTGATTCTACCAAAGGATTCTTGGAACAAGAGCATCATGAAGGGTTACAGAAAAGGGAAATTGAGTATAAGGAAGACTTGATATGTACTTGACTCACCTTTGAGTCATGGACCCTTTTGACTCCACCATTGCTACCATTGAAACAAACAAAACAAAAATAAGCAAATATCTGCCATTGTGGAAAGGTAATGGAATAAAGTGACTGAGGGTGCAGGCTCTGAAATCAAACAGCCTGAGCTTCAAATCATGCTCCACTACTGTACCAGCCATGTGTCATTGGGCAAAGCAGTAACCTCTCTTCCCAGTTTCCTTTCCAAAATGCAGATAATGGTTTCTCCCCGATAAGGTTGTTGTGAGAATTAAATGTGATGTTGAATGCAAAGACTTGCACAGTGGAAAGAAATATCATCTGCACGTAGCTTCTGCGTCTGACCTGAGCATGTGGCTCCAATGTAAAAAGCTCACATGCCCCCTCCAGACAGGACTGGAAACGAGATAGATGCTTATTCCTGATTGGCCTGCCAGCTGCCTTCCTTGTGCACACACTAGAGCATATACACTTTTCTCCATGGTAACCTCAGCCTCTTCTGGTAGAACCTTATTTGCTCAGACTGAGAACAAAACAATTGCTTTGGTTTCTGTTTTCTTTCATATCATGCCTAGGCACTGTCTGAACAGGGCTTTTTCCAGTCTCCCTCAGAATAGGGGTCTTTGCAGCTGCTTAATCTAAGCTTTTGCATGTGAGGGGCAGCCACTAGGGAAAAGAAGCAAAGTGAAGGAGATTCCATGAGAAACCTTAGCAAGATCTCTTCATGTGCTTTGGGAGAAATCAATTCAACAAATGTGTACTGAGGACCAGTTCCAGGTGAGTCCCTATTACAGGGACTAGGAAGAAGTAAGGGCTTACAGTGTAAGGAAAGAAATTGCTAATAATAATAAAAGAAATAACTAAAAAGACAAATAACTTTGGGTATTATGAAGGAAACAATGGTAGAGATGATGCAGAGAATGGGACGGGGCAAACAGTGATTAAGGAGGAGGAGACATTTAAGCTAAACTAAAGGATGAAAAAGGGCCAGTCAGATGAAATCAGGGGAAGAGCATTCTGAGGAGGGAAAACAGTAAGTCCAAAGGTCTTGAGGTCAGAATGTTATGGAAGAGGAGGACAGAGGTGATAAAGCTGGAGGCAAGACGGGACTCGTCAGTGCTGAGTCAGGAGTCAAATTGTTAAAGGGAATGGGAAGCTCTAAAGAGGCTTCCCATGACCAGATAGGTGTGTACAGACCCTCTCCTTATACTCTCCTCACCCACCAGGCCCAGCTGGCCCGGGCACTGTACGACAACACTGCCGAGTCTCCCCAGGAGCTGTCCTTCCGCAGAGGGGACGTTCTACGGGTACTGCAGAGGGAGGGTGCTGGCGGACTGGATGGCTGGTGCCTCTGCTCCCTGCATGGCCAGCAGGGCATTGTGCCTGCCAACAGAGTGAAGCTTCTTCCTGCTGGCCCAACGCCCAAGCCCAGCCTCTCCCTGGCACCCTCCGCCCAGCCTGGCTCACCACACCCAACCCTAGAGCACAGCAATGAGGAACAGGAGGTGAGACTTGAAGTCCCCCAAGCCCCAAACCTGGAGACCCCTTGTCCTCCCCTGGGGCCTGCAGGCAGGCAGGCAGACCCCCCAGGTCACTGCTCTCCTCCCACTGTGCTCTCTGAAGTCTCTGCCACCCCTTAGCTCTGTGTCCCTGTTGGTAGCACAGCGGGGCAGGTTTCTAAGCTCCTCCAAGTCTAACATGGTTCACCAGCCCCCTCCTTCAGACCCACCCACCTGTCTTGATCTCCCAGGTGTATGTGGTACCACCCCCAGCTCGACCCTGTCCTGCCTCAGGACCTCTGGCTGGACCCTGCCCACCCTCCCCTGACTCCATCTACAAGGTCCCCAGAGGCAATGGGACCCAACTGTCCACTCCCAGAGATGCCTTGGAGGTGAGGGTTAAAGGTCTGTGTATTTGGGGTAAGGGACAAACAACCTCAGGGCTGGTCCATTGCTGAGCTGAAGGGTGACTCACTGTTCCCTCTCTCCAGGTCTATGATGTGCCCCCCACTGCCTTCCGAGCTCAATCCAGTGACCCCTATGACTCCCCAGCTTCCTTTTCTCATCCACTGGCCCGGGTTGCCCAGCAGCACCCTGGGGAAGATGAAGCTCCCTATGATGTACCTCTAGCCCCAAAGCCATCCACAGAGCTGGAGCCGGATCTGGAGTGGGAAGGGGGCCGGGAACCAGGGCCCCCACTCTACGCTGCCCCCTCCAACCTGAAACGGGCATCAGCCCTCCTCAACCTGTATGAAGCACCCGAAGAACTGCTGGCCAACGGGGAAAGTGGGGACACTGATGAGGGCATCTATGATGTGCCCCTGCTGGGTCCCGAGGCACCCCCTTCTCCAGAGCCCCCAGGAAACTCGGCCTCCAACGAGCTGGACACCCTGGCCCAGCTCCTGGCCAGAAGCCCTCCGCCACCACACAGGCCTCGGCTGCCCTCTGCTGAGAGTCTGTCCCGGCGCCCTCTGCCTGCCCTGCCTGTCCCTGAGGCTCCCAGCCCTTCTCCAGCTCCCTCTCCTGCTCCAGGCCGCAAAGGCAGTATCCAGGACCGGCCTCTGCCTCCACCCCCACCCCGCCTGCCTGGCTTTGGGGGTCCCAAGATCGAGGGGAATCCAGAGGACAGGGAAGTGGAGGATGATCCAGCAGGACCCCACAATGAGTATGAAGGCATCCCAATGGCTGAGGAGTACGACTATGTTCACTTGAAGGTGAGTTCCTCCTGGGCCACTCCCAGAAATGCCCCAAGAGGAGGAGGAGTGTGGAGGCTTGGGGCAGAACTTCCCTGCCTCCCTTCTTCCTCTCTCCCCTGCCCCTTCACCCTGTAGCCAGGGACCCTACCACATGTTCTTGGCCTTACCACATGTACTAGTGCTACACTCCCCCCTTAATCCCAGCCTGGGACCACCAAAGCTCCCTCCTGAGTCAAGGGACTGGAAGGGAGACTGGGGAAGCCACCACCCCTGCACTGAGACCTGATCCCCTTTGCAGGGCATGGATAAAGCTCAGGGATCTAGGCCCCTGGATAAAGCCTTTCCAGAGGATCCTGAACTGCAGGAGAAGGGACTGCCTGAGCAGCAGGTAACCCCCTGTTGGAGGTGCGCTAGAGAAGGGGGCTGGCAAAGGAGGGCTGGGACTTGGGGGAAGGGGTATTCTTAACCAAACTATAGAAGGAAATAGATTAGGATGAGGTTAGAGTTCACATGAAGCAGGGACAGAGTAGACAGGAGTTAGAATTCAACTGGAAGGTGCTGGAACTTGGAAGAGGATATTAGAAATTCAGAAAGAGGGGAAAGAATGTGTTGGAGAGGAGTCAGAAAGCCGGGCAGCCAAGGGAGCAGAAAGAGTTTCTGGGCTGTGGCTCCTTCTAAGGCTCCTTCCAACTGTGAATTCCTGGGCTCCTAAGAGACCTGGCTCCTAATCCCAGTTCCACCACTAAGAAGGGCGGGGGTGGGGGTGGGGGCACAAGGGCACAAAGCGATCACTTAAGTCTTTCTGGACCTCAGGAAAGTGAGATAGTTTCCTTGACTCAGTCTAGAATGGACATAACACAATAGCAACCATTTATCGGGTATTTACCAAGTGCCAGACCCTGTGCTAGGCACACATGCTTCAACATCAATCACAGTCATAGTCGATGCTCATAACAGCTTAGGGTATGAGTGCACTGTGCCAAGCCCTTTTTATTTATTTTCTCGAATAATGTTCTCTGCAGCCTTGTTAGGTACATGCTAGAACTATAATCTTCAATACAGTTACCACATGTGGCTACCAGACCCACAAGATGTGGCTAGTCTGAATTGAAATGTGCTATAAATATAAAATGCACACTGGATTTTGAAGATTTACTATGGAAATAACTCAATGATTTTCATATTGATAACAGATGGGAACTACAACATTTTTGATTTTGGAATTAGAGAAAATATACCAATTTCTTTTTACTTTTTTTAATGTGGCTACCAAAATATTTAAAACTTCACATGTGACTTACATTATGTTTTTATTGGACAGTGCAGTACTAGACTCCCTGTTTGCTTTTTTTTTTTTTTTCCCCGTGTGTGTTTATGTGGTGCTGGGGATAGAATCAGGGCCTCATACATACCAGGCAAGTGCTCTACCACTAAGCTACACCTCCAGCTCTACACTTTTTCTTTTCTCTCTCTCTCTCTCTCTCTTTAATTTGTTCTAGTTATACAAGACAATAGGATGCATTTTGACACATCATACAGAACTTCTCATTCTTCTGGTTATTCATGATATAGAATCACACTGGTTCTGTAATCATAAATGTACATAGGGTAATAATGTCCAATTCATTCTACTATTATCCCTATGCCCAGACCCCCTACCCTCTCTTCACTCCCCTCTGCCTAAACCTAGGTACCTTTATTCTTCCCTAAACACCCCCCTTATTGTGAATTAGCATCTGCACATCAGAGAAAACATTTAGCCTTTGGGGTTTTTTTTGAGGTTGACTTACTTCACTTAGCACGATATTCTTCAGTTCCATCCATTTACTGGCAAATGCCATAGTTTCATTATTCTTTATGGTTGAGTAATATTCCATTGTGTATATATACCACATTTTCTTTATCAGTTCATCTGTCAAAAGGCATCTAAGTTGGTTCCATAGTTTGGCTCTTGTAAATTGAGCTGCGATAAACATTGATGTGGCTGTGTCACTATAGTATGCTGATTTTAAGCCCTTTGGATATAAACCAAGGAGTGCCCAGCCCTATACTTTTTGTTTTAGAAATTAGAAGCCACAAAAGTTCAGAGACTTGTTTGAAATCAGGTTTGAGGTTATTTGAATCCAGAGCTGTCTCACACTGAGTCTGGGCATTTCACTGCCAATCTAAATTTTCTGGTGAGCAGGGATGAGAGTTGAAGGGATTGTTCTCAGGAAGAAGGAGCAAGGGAGGAAGTGGCACTGAGGAGCACGTTCCCACTGACTCCCCTCTCGCCCCTCAGGAGGCCCCATCCCCAGGGGAACCACTGGTTCTGTCCACCGGAGACCTACAGCTCCTGCACTTCTATGCAGGCCAGTGCCAGAGCCACTACTCAGCGCTGCAGGCGGCTGTGGCAGCCCTGATGTCCAGCACCCAGGCCAAGCAGCCCCCAAGTCTCTTCGTGCCCCATAGCAAGCGGGTTGTGGTGGCTGCTCACCGTCTAGTATTCGTTGGGGACACCCTGGGTCGGCTGGCAGCCTCTGCCCCTCTGCGAACACAGGTCGGGGCTGCAGGTACAGCGCTGGGCCAAGCTTTGCAGGCCACTGTGCTGGCTGTTAAGGGGGCTGCCCTGGGCTATCCCTCAGGCCCTGCAGCCCAGGAGATGGCACGGTGTGTGGCAGAACTGGCAGGGCGAGCCCTGCAATTCACCACCCTGCTCACCAGCCTGGCTGCCTGAGGGTCTGTTGGCACAGCCTTCCCCTCCCCTGCCTGGTCAGAGCCTCCACACACTCAGGTCTTGGGTGGATGGAGGGCTGTTTCAGGGAAGGAGAGGTATCTTCCCCCTCCCCTTCCCCTTTCAGTCATCTCAGCCTCTCACAGAGGCATCTCTTTCCCCTAATCCACAGCCTTTTGTATGAGAGCCATTTTGTATAAATTATTTATATTTAATGTTATTCCCTGCTTTATCAGGGCCAGGCACCAGGTCCTCTGAGGCAGGGAGGAACTGAACCCTCCTCCTCACCAGCCAGGGTTAGAGGTCACTGCACTGCCTCCTGCCTCTGGAAATTTGGGACACCAAGAATCAAGTGGCAGGAACTTGGGACCACACAGAGTCTCTCTCCCTTCCTGTTTCTTGGTTCCTGAACACCAATTCCTCACTTAGCAGAGAAGGACATTGACTGCCCAGAATATGAAGGTCTGGGAGACATCAGAAGGCTCCTCCCCTCAAAAGGCAGGAATGTTGGCCTGAGCATGGGTGTGTGCACTTCAATAAACCCTGCGGTCTGGTTCCCTGACTCTGCTGCTTGGGAGCGTTGTGGGAGTGGGGGTCGGGGGGGGGGGGGGGGGCCCCCCCTCATCATCCCCATGGCGGGTGGGGGGATTTTCCTCCTTTGACAATGTGCACTAGACTGGTTCTCAACTCCCATAAAGGACCAGAGAGAGTTCTAAAGGAATGTAGTGAATGTGCCCTTCTAATAAGGGTTGGATGGACATCAACAAGTCATTAAAATAAGTGCATAAAAAATAAGCCAGATTGGACACTTGGTGGTAGAAATCCACAGGGCAATGAGAAAAGATGAGCAAGGTGAGGAGAGGACCACTGACAAGACATTAGCTAGGCACCTGGAGGAAGAGAGAACCAAGAGGGTCTGACTAGTGTTCCAGGAAGGCAAGCCCAGTTTGCTGATTTGGGAATCAAGCCTTCTTCTTCAGATGATGTCACTAGAGAGGTGCAGTTGTGGAAAGAAGTTGGCCATCACCTAGGTGACTCTAAGAGCATCTAGCCCCTTACACTGCACTTCCCAGGCTTCCTACTGATAATCCCTCTGGACAAACTGTCTTCTAGGGGAGGTGGGGTGGCAGACAAGGGCAATGACTTGGAAGTCCATAGTCCTCAAGACTTTGGTGACTGAAGTTAAGAGGCTGTGGGTTTATAGGGGGGATCACTCCAGCCATTTACCTACCACAGGGAAGAAATCTGAGCTACAGACCCATTGCTTCAGTTTTGCACTCCCAGTTATCTGGCACAATAACTTTCGGGGCACCTCAGATTTCAATCACAATCTTAGTACCTTGGCACCCTCTGAATTTGCCTCCTATGTTGTGGGCTCCCTTCTCATTTCATTCTCAAGGAAAAAAATTCCAGATTCCAGGATTGACAAAATTCACCCCTATGTGTTGAAAGCCATCTCCCATCTTCCAGACAGATTTCATAGATGATCCCTGAACTGGAGTCAGGTTTCAGTTCAAGTCTCAGATCTGCCATGTACTTGAGTGTCTGTAGGAAAATCATTGCTAGTCACCTCTGAGTCCTGGTTTAGCTTTAATGTGAGAGGATCATAATGGTCTGATAGGGTTGTTGTAAGGACCTACCAAGAAAATGCATGTGAACAGGGCTGGGCTTGTGGCTTACTGGTAAAGTGCTCACCTAGCATGTGTGGGGCCATGGGTTCGATCCTCAGCACCACATAAAAATAAATAAATAAAAGTATTGAATCCAACTACAACTAAAAAAATACTAAAAAAAAAAAAAAGAAAGAAAATGCATGTGAACAGCCCAGCACCACATAAAATTAAGAGATTATTATCCAAGACAGAAAAGGATATAGACAATAAATCCCTAAGGTATATTGGCTGTGATTGTATTGCCGTAACTCTGGAAGAGAGGCTAAAAAGAGTAGAGGGAGGGGGAGTGGTGGGAGTCTGCTTGATGTATTAGAAAAGAAGGGTTTCCTCTATTGGGGAAATATGAATAGAGGAGACAAGTGGAAGGTGGTTCAGTGTAGAGAAAGGGGAATGAGCTAGTTGACTTGACACATGGTCCATCCCAGTCCTTACCTAGGATTGGGGAATGAAGTACCTATCAAGTATAAAAAATTTATTAGAGAAATGCATCTCTAACTTGAATGTACATACACCTGGGGATCTAGTTAGAATACAGATAATGATTCAAGGGTCTGGTTGAGGCTGAGATTATGCTCTCAAATGATAATGGGTGCTGCTGGTCCTTCAATTTCACTGAATAGCAATTCTAAGGTTAGAGAAGATTTTGAGGCAAAGATGCTTGAACTGACAGCTGAAGGATGGGAAAAACTTGACTAAGAAGCCATCTAAGTATAAGAACCAGCTTGTGCAAAGATGCTGTAACATTGGAAAAACTGAAGAAGGTCAGAGGCTGGAGTGCAGCAAGTTTGAGACATGTGAAGTGAAATGGAGCTACATAGAGCATATGACCAGGCATGCAGGAGCATGTGTGAGTTCGTGAGCTGTCTAGAATACTTATCTTCATGGTGATAGCCTGGAAGGGACACACAAGGCGCTTTGTGTGTGTGTGTGTGTGTGTGTGTGTGTGTGTGTGTGTGTATGTGTGGTGCTGGGGATTGAACCCAGGGCCTTGTGCATGCAAAGCAAGCACTCTACCAACTGAGCTATATCCCAGCCCAGCAGCCCTTTTTATTTTCTATTTTGAAACAGGTTGCTTGGGGCCTTGTTAATTTGCTGAGGCTGGCCTTGAACTTGCCATCCTTCCTGCCTCAGCCTCCCAAGTCACCAGAATTACAGGTGCACTCTATTGTGCCCAGCAGACCTCCATTTTTAAAAAGATTATTCCATCTGCATCCATAAGTAATAGTTGGGGGAGGGGATAGATATGAAAGGATGCAGAACACCAGGTGGGAATCTGGAGGTTGCAGTATTGGTAATAGAGATGGAAGAGAAGCAGACTATCTGAGAACTATACAAGAAGTAGAAATTGGATAGGATTTTGTAAATGACTTGACATGAGTTAAGAGGAAATTTCAAGGACTGTCACCTGAGCATCTGGCCATAAGTGGTTGGTATTATCCTTGAAGAAGGAAGACTAGAAGATGACCAACAAGGTTATAGTGGGGAAGAACATGAGTTTGGTCATAGGGAATTTGAGGTCCCTGTGAGTTATCAAAAGTGGACCCTGGGCTCAGAAAAGAGATGAGATCTGGGGGTATATCTGGGACTCAGATTTGTATCATTTGTACTGGTGGTGACTGAAATGTTGGGAATGAGTGAGATCCCAAAAGGGAGACAATACTGTAAGGTGAGAAGAGGGTCAAGGACCAAGTCTCTGAGGATTGCAGACCTGAATGATGGTGAGGAATAGGAGAATGTGCCTGCATGGAGAAAAGGAGTAAAAGAAAGAAAACCAGGGGAATGTGGGTCTTAGAAGATAAGAAAGTATTTAGAGGAAGGGGTTGTCAATACTGCCAAATGCTGTTGAAAAATCATGGAGATTCAATCAGGATGGGATGGTGAATCCCAGAGAAGTGGTCTCCTTGTAGAGATTGAAGCTAGAAAGCTGAGTACAGTGCCAAATCAGCTCTCCACATGCATAAGCTGAACTACAATTGCCTGTTTACATGTCTGTCTCCCCAAGGTGGTCTTGTCCAGCCTATTATCCCCAAAGCCTAGACAAGGCCTGGAACATAGTAGGCATTTAACAAATTTCACTGATGAATGAATGAGTGGGGAAGAACTGGAAGTGATGGAGGACCCTCTGGCATCTGTCTGTTACTATCCTTCAGCATTTTTCCCTCTTCACCGCAATGGCCTGCAGACCCAGGAACAGAAGACAGAGCCCCCAGCCCCTCCCTCCCCTGGGCCCTGGCCCCCCTTCCTCTCTCTGACGAAAAGTCTGGACCGAAGGTTCTGCTGACGTGGGAAGGGGAGGGGAGTCTAGAGGAAGAGGAGGGGAAAGCAGCGCAGAGATCGCAGAGACTGAGGAGGCGCCCGCGGCTGCAGAGCTGCAGATTGGGGTCCCTTCGGTCTTTCACTGTCCGGCCTCCCGGCGCGCAGCTGGGCCAGAGGGTAGTGCATCCTTTTGGCGCGGTCCAAGAGGGCCGCTGTGGTCGGCAAGCTGGCTCCCCGGGTGGCCACTGGGACCCCAGAGCCTAATGGCGGGGGTGGCAGCAAAATCGACAGCACCGTAGAGATCACCCCCAGCTCCAACGGAGTAAGTGCCTGCGCCTCGCGCGGGGGGTGGTGGTGGTGGTGGTAGTGACGGCTACGCCATCCTATCCCGCACCCCCGTCCGGGTCCCCGCTGAAGGCCCGGCATTTTCTCCCGTGCATCCCCTGTCCCTACCTGCCTTCCTTGCCCTAGCTTCAGCACCTCCCGCCCCCTATCTCCTCTTGCTCTGCGGCTTTCTCCGCTTCACCCTTCTGTCCCCAACACCCCACCTCGCCCCACAGCAGGTCGGGACCCTTGGAGATGCTGTGCCCACCGAGCAGCTGCAGGGTGAGCGCGAGCGAGGGCGGGAGGGGGAGGGCGATGCGGGCGGCGACGGGCTGGGCAGCAGCCTGTCGCTGGCCGTACCCCCAGGCCCCCTCAGCTTTGAGGCGCTGCTCGCCCAGGTGGGGGCGCTGGGCGGCGGCCAGCAGCTGCAGCTCGGCCTCTGCTGCCTGCCGGTTCTCTTCGTGGCTCTGGGTCTGGCCTCGGACCCCATCTTCACGCTGGCGCCCCCACTGCATTGCCACTACGGGGCCTTCCCTCCCAACGCCTCTGGCTGGGAGCAGCCCCCCAATGCCAGCGGCGTTAGCGTCGCCAGCGCGGCCCTAGCAGCCAGCGCAGTCAGCCGCGTCGCCACTAGTACGGACCCCTCGTGTAGCGGCTTCGCCCCGCCAGACTTCAATCATTGCCTCAAGGACTGGGACTATAATGGCTTGCCGGTGCTCACCACCAACGCCATCGGCCAGGTGAGACGGTCAGGCGGGCCTCGGGTCTGGGGGAGGGCCTAGGGTGGCAAGGGCGGGGCCTCATGCCCGCTGCACCCTTCTCACACCCCCAGTGGGATCTGGTGTGTGACCTGGGCTGGCAGGTGATCCTGGAGCAGATCCTCTTCATCTTGGGCTTTGCCTCCGGCTACCTGTTCCTGGGTTACCCCGCAGACAGGTGAGGGCTGTCGTGGGGGCCGGGATGGTAGAGAGGAGGGGGTGCTAGGGAAACTAGCCCAAGCAGCTGGTATTTGCAAAAGATAGAGGACAATTCGCTGGACTCTGCTGGCCTTCTCTGGACTTCCGTTCAATGATCTACCCCTGACTCAACTTCACTCCCCATCAAGAAATACACTCTTCTGCGCAGGAGAATGACCTCTATGGACCATTTCCACTTACCTGTAGCCCCATATCCATGGACCAATGACATCATCTCCAAAGATAATAGTCCCATCCCCTAAACGAAAACCCTGTTTTGACAAGGAAATGCTCTCTCTTCCTTTGTAGCACTTCTCATTCTAACCACCTCCCTTACCATCTTCATGGATTAACAAATTCCCATCTGCACTGTTAGCTCCACCTCAGTGGGCTCATTCCTAAAGATCAATGTTAATTCCTAAATATCAGCAGCCCCATTCCCACTGACGAATAGTTCAACTTTACAAACGACTCAATCTCTGACCCACTAGTGGCCCCTCCCACATGGATCAACAGATATTTCAAAAGAGTACCTTCATCTTCAGTAACCCACAGTTTCATGCCTACCGCTAAATAAATCCACCTTTATGAATCATTGATCTCAAGAGCACCCCTCATAGATTGATAGTCCAATCTTCACAGATCCTCAGGGATTTCAAATCCTTTCAGACCCAAATTTCCATTTTCACAAATCATGGCCTCATCAACTGCCTGTCTCCACCAACCAGTAATTTTCCCTATGTATCAAAAATCCCATCTCCTCTGTTTCTGGACACCATCATCACTGATCAGGAACTCCAACTCCACTGGCTATCCCCATGGATTACTCATCCTCACTAGTATAGCCCCACCTAAGTGGATCAGTTCAACTTCCATGGATCAAAGGCATCCTGACATTCAATAGTCCAGTTCCTTAAAAATTAAAACCCATTCTCACTGTCAAATAGACACCTGTAGGCCAATGATCCTAAACCTACATATCAGTATCCTGTCCCCATGCATTAATGGCCTCTTTTTCATAGGCCAGTAGTCTCATTCCTATGGACCTCATTACCAAAGATCAATAATTCAGTCTCCCCAAATCAGAAATCTTAGCCACATTAACCAATAAGCCATCCTCATGAAAAATGAACCTGCCCTAAAGGTTTAGTGACCTTGTTTCCAGGGATCAGTGCCACCTTTCCAATGTCCAGTGGCCCCCAATCTTCATAGATCAATAGCCTTATCCCCAAAGGTCAGTAGTCCATCCCCTAAGGATTAGTAGCCCTGTGCTCACTAACTTGTGGTCAGTGACCATCATCACTTGCCAATAGTTTTATCTCACCTGGCCCATTCTTAGTGATTATCCCCATGAATTAACAGATTCATCCCTTGAATACCCATCCATATGGATACTGAGATCCTTGCATCGTGAATCAATGGTTCCATCCCCAAAGACTAATTCTTCAGTCTCCAAAGATTTGTAGTCTCATCCTCACTGGTCAAAAGTCCTACCCCATGGATTAATAGACCCATTCATGGATCAGTAGCTCCATCTCCTGCTCAGTGCCATTCCACTCATCCCCCCCAAATCAATTACTGAGCCCCTAAGATTAGTAGTTCCATCTTCACTGACCAAAATTATACCCACACACAAGAGGTGACTTATATCAGTGACTCCCATCTCTTGAATAGTCTGAACAAGACAAGCTCCATTCCTACTGACCAATAGCTCTATTCCTATAGATCAGTGGTTCCAAATCCACTAAGCAATATCCCATCCCCCTATGGGCAACCTCACATATAAACCTAAATGCCCTATGACCAATAGCCCTATCCTCAAGAGTCAATGGTTCCACCTTCCACAGAACCATAGCCACAACCCAGTGCCCAGTAGCCAGACATCACCCACACACAGTACTCATCTCTTCTCATCTCTAATCTCAGTTCAGCTCTTACACCAGGAGCCTCATCCTCTACCACCAACTTTGAAGTGGCCAGCTGGCCCCCACCCAGGACATCTTCCCCCAAGCAAGTCAAGGTAACCAGAAGTCCTCCCCACTTTCCAGGTTTGGCCGACGTGGGATTGTGCTGCTGACCTTGGGGTTGGTAGGCCCCTGTGGAGTAGGAGGAGCTGCTGCAGGCTCTTCCACCGGAGTCATGGCCCTCCGATTCCTCCTGGGTTTTCTGCTTGCTGGAGTTGACCTTGGTGTCTACCTGATGCGTAAGTGGCACCCTGCCAGATGTCCCCCCCTTGGGTCTCACACCTGCTTTTCTATATCCCCAGGGTCCCCACTGCCCCTTCTTCAGGCCTAAATTTTAGCTGTTCAGAATCAGCTATATTTCTAGCCAGGCTTTTGAATGATCCAGGGGTCCTGCTTCTCTCACATCTGTCTCCCCGCAATCTTTAAAGCATTGCCCTGGACTTAGTGCTGTTAGGGAATATCACCTTATTTAAAAACTGAAGCCCTGACTAGCTATGTGATCTTGGACAAGAGTTGACATGAAGGTCAAATAGGAGACCTAATGTGAAAGGGTCTGTAAACTGGAAATGCTGATCACTCTCGGGGAGACCGAACCTAGAGCCCTCCTAGGTTTGAGCAGGAGAGGGGACTGCACGATCTCTCTGCTCCTTGCCACCTAGAGGTTAGTCTGTGGGAGGTGATGGCTACAACTCTGCTCAGGGTCTGACCTAGCTCTGTCCTCCTCTTTCCCTCCCTCTCCCCTTTCTAATGTCTCCTCCCTGGCCTCTCCCTTCTCCCTCATCCCTGCTATTATCTCTAGGCTTGGAGCTGTGTGATCCAACCCAGAGGCTTCGGGTGGCCCTGGCAGGGGAGTTGGTGGGGGTGGGAGGGCACTTCCTGTTCCTGGGCCTGGCCCTTGTCTCTAAGGACTGGCGATTTCTGCAGCGAATGATCACCGCTCCCTGCATCCTCTTCCTGTTTTATGGGTTAGTATTGCCCTTCATGTGTAGTCTGGCCCAGCTCTACCTCCAGTCTAGCTCTTAGCCCAGAGACCCCTCCTCTTCTTCAACTGCCCCTGGTCCAGGCCTGTCTCAGTCCCTCAGAGGTGGGAGTTTCCTAGCCCTGGGTCAGGAGAGGGGAGGCCTCATTGCACCCCACCACCCTGCCTCCAGCTGGCCTGGTCTGTTTCTGGAGTCTGCACGGTGGTTGATAGTGAAGCGGCAGATTGAGGAAGCTCAATCTGTGCTGAGGATCCTGGCTGAGCGGAACCGGCCCCATGGGCAGATGCTGGGGGAAGAAGCCCAAGAGGCTCTGCAAGGTAAGCAGGGCTCTCAGGGCTGGGGCTATAGCTGAGTAGTAGAGCACTTGCCTCGCAGGTGTGAAGCCCTGGGTTCAATCCTCAGCACCACATAAAAATAAACAAATTAAGATATTGTGTCCATCTACAACTAAAAAAAAAAGCAAGGCTCTCTATGGGTGACACCTTGTATGCACACAGGACAGGTGCCTTCTGCATGTAGCTGTGCCATCTCCCAGGGTCCCTACCCTCATGTGGGAGGATCCTGGTTTCTCAGCTGTCTCTTCTAAACTCCTCTCTCTCTCCCAAAGACCTGGAGAACACCTGCCCTCTCCCTGCAACATCCACTTTCTCCCTCGCGTCCCTCCTCAACTACCGCAACATCTGGAAAAATCTGCTTATCCTGGGCTTCACCAAGTGAGCCTGGGTGTCAGACCTGAGGGCCAGCCCAGTAGCTGGGATGGGGATTGGCTGGGTGGGGAAGGCTGGAAGACCTACAGAGGATAGCCAAGGATGTGGAAAGCTGAAGATGGTCAATCAGACACTTTTCTTTCTTTCCCTACCCCTCGTAACAGCTTCATTGCCCATGCCATTCGCCACTGCTACCAGCCTGTGGGAGGAGGAGGGAGCCCATCAGACTTCTACTTGTGCTCCCTGCTGGCCAGCGGCACAGCAGCCCTGGCTTGCGTCTTCCTGGGGGTCACTGTGGACCGATTTGGCCGTCGGGGCATCCTGCTTCTAGCAATGACCCTCACTGGCATCGCATCCCTAGTCCTGCTGGGTCTGTGGGATTGTAAGCATCTTCCCTTCCCCATGATGTGGGCTCAACAAGGGAACCCCAATAGAGGTGCCTCAGATAGACTCAGCCAATACTTCTGGCATAGGTCTCCCAAGATAAGACCCAGACCCTGCCCACAGCTTCTACAAGCCTCCACCTAGCCAGGCAACTCCGTCTGTTCTCCCAATTAGTGAATGCCCAGAGCCCACTTAGCGCACAGGATATAAGAACAAAGGGGATCACTAGGGATTAGGCCAGGCATGATCTCCCCACCTCCATTCATGTTGTCCTTCTTGATCTTCCAGATCTGAATGAGGCTGCCATCACCACGTTCTCTGTTCTTGGGCTCTTCTCCTCCCAAGCAGCTGCTATCCTCAGTACTCTCCTTGCTGCTGAAGTTATCCCCACCACCGTCCGGTGAGAGAAGGGTACTTCTAAGGCCAGGCCTCAAAGCCTGAGGGATGGAGGGAAGCTACTAGAGAAGGGTTGGGGTGAGGCCCACAGCTATTGGCTGAGTATCTCCTACATCTTCCCCAGGGGCCGTGGCCTGGGTCTGATCATGGCACTGGGGGCACTTGGGGGGCTGAGTGGTCCAGCCCAGCGCCTCCACATGGGACATGGAGCCTTCCTGCAGCACGTGGTGCTGGCGGCCTGTGCCCTCCTCTGCATCCTCAGCATTATGCTTCTGCCAGAGACCAAGCGCAAGCTCTTGCCTGAGGTGCTCCGAGATGGGGAGCTGTGCCGTCGGCCTTCCCTACTACGGCAGCCACCCCCTAACCGCTGTGACCATGTCCCATTGCTTGCCACCCCCAATCCTGCCCTCTAAGCGGCCTCTGTGCACCCTGGTGTGAGGCTGGCCCATAGAGAAAGGTGACAGGCCCTGGCAAGGAGACCAGGAAGAGAGAGGAAGGCAGGGCTGCCCAGAAGGCTCCAAGGCACCTCACACCAGCCATGGAGGAAAACTCCGAGGGCCGCCCCCACCCCCATCTCCTCCCTGCTGCTTTGTGTTCATGTCCTCAGCAAGTCAGGGAATAGGGAGAGAGCTCCATACTGTAACATGGGTCTGGGCTCCATCTTGTGCCCAAAGACATCCTCCCAGACCTCATTCTTTCTTGCTCTATCATTCTGTTTCAATAAAGACATTTTGAATAAATGAGCATATCACAGCCTGGACTTCCCTCCCTGCTGTTGTCCTTCAATTTCTTGGGGAAAGGCTTCTCAGTGGAACACAAACCATTAACAATCTCCTCTCCCCCTCCCTGTACCCTGCTCCCCAAAATTAACTTGCATAACTATCTCCACTTACTGCTTGCTTTGCTGCCAGGACTGCACTAGGTGCTATACACACTTCATATTTTAAGGTAGGTATTTGGATAAATTAGGTTTTGTTAAAAGCAATACAAATTGAGTCTGATGAATTAAAACAAAATGGGAGTTTTTGTTAGGTGTATTGGGGCAGGTTAATGTGAGAAGTCCCAGAAAATGGAAGAAACAGACCTAACCATAAAAGGTCAGGAGCTGAAAGGCCTCCTGGTTCAAAAAGCAGGACCAGTAACATTCTTATCAAGGTTTCTGGATGAGTGAACTCCAGTGGGATTCAATTCTTGGGAAAAATCATTTCCAGCAAGCATGTGGCTGGCTTGTTTGAGTAACATAATACTCCCACCTCTGTTACTGACAACTAAGAGGAGGAAAGCAAAACTTGGGCACTGTTAGCTTACCTGGGACTTGATGTTGTTCAGGTAAAAAAAATGGATGTCCACTACAGTATTATTCTTTTTACATATGAGAAGACCGAGCTCAGAGACTCAGTAACTTGCTCAAGGTTACAAAACAAATGACTGACAGAGTTGAGATGTCCCAGTGCTAGACCTCGTCATCACTGCACACTATGGCTACTTTCCCTACCCCTAACATTTGGGCATTTTCCTTGGCAATGAGGAGTGGAGTCTCCCTGAGAGGTGGCAGCAGGTGACTAGAAGTTCCACTTTAGTGTCAGGACCTACCTCTCCAACTAGCCCAGGCCTGGCTTTACCACTTTGAGCAAATCTCTTACCTCCAATATCCTTCAAGGAAATCGCTATGATGATTGAACAAGTAATGTTTTTGAAGTATGAGCTGCTCCTTCAGGATGGGATCTTATTCAATTTTGAAACACCAATGTCTGACGTGGTAGATGTTAGAAAAGTTGAATATTTGCTCATTTTTTCAATAAGTGTTTCCTGTGACAGATTTACAGAGCAGAGCTATCTATGATACCTAAGTCACAGGCCACCCTTCAAGGAGCTTAAAATCCATTAAACACTACGACTATTAATGAGGAAAACAGGCTAGTGGTTTGGAGCACCAAGAGGCTGCTTCTTGAAGATAAGACTCATTCAGAAGCAAGAAGCCCGCAATGCTTCATAGTCTCTATAGTGCTCTTAACCCTAGGCCAAAAGGAACAAATTCTTGAGGACTGGAGAAGGTGAGATTTTTCCTAGAAGATTGGTCTTTGGAGAGAGATTCTTAGGAAAATGGAAGCCTTAAGGCCAGTACCTTGCAGAAAAGGAAGGCCTATTAACTAAGAGTGCAGCAACCCCAGAGTTCCTTTCTCCTTCTGCCAGTTCACATTTGAGGCCCAAGCTCTATGAATCAGGCCATATTACTAGACTCTCAAAATGTTACTGGAAGCTGCACGCAACAGTGCCCACTTGTAATCCCAGTGGCTTAGGAGGCTGAGGCAGAAAGATTCTAAGTTCAAAGCCAGCCTCAGCAATGGTGAAGCTGCTAAGCAACTCAGTGAGACCCTGTCTCTAAATAAAATATAAAATAGGGGTGGGGATGTGTCTCAGTGGTTGAATGCCCTAAGTTCAATCCCTGGTCCAAAAAGAAAAAAAAAAAATTAATGGAGAATTCATCAGGACCTTCCTCATTTAATTAATTAGCATAATCCCTGATAAATTTTCATCTCTGCTTTACTATTGAAAAAAATAGAACATGAGAGAAATAAAGAGGGTTTATCATTAAATGGCAGAGCCAGGATTCTACCCGACTCTGGATCTTTCAGTTAAATACCCTGCAGTATACACTATGTAAAGCAATATCCAGGGGGTTTCAACTGACTCCAATGTTGACATTTTAGCTCTGACAATCAATGATGAAGCAAGAAATCATATTCCTTTCTAACTCCAGAGATTGTGCAACAAGATGGTAGACAGGGAAGCTCTTGTACTTGTTTGCAGAGTCCATGTAAACTGGGCATAATGGCACATGCCTGTAATTCTAATTTCTAAGGAGGCTAAGGTGGGAGAATCATAAATTCAGGGCCAGCCTCTGCAACTTGGTAGGACCTTGTCTCAAAATAAAAAACAAAAAGGGTTAGGTACGTAGCCCAGTGGTAGAGCACCTCTTAATTCATTCCCCAGCACCACCAAAAAAAAAAAGTCCCTGTAAAGCAAGAGTTCTTTATATGTTAAAGACACTGTTCAGTATATTCTCCAAGGAATAGATCAAAAGGACATTTCAATGGATCTCCTCTACATAACCAGTGAAAAAATGAAAAAGAGTTTCAGGAAAAGAAGTAAGAACAATCAGAAAGCTAGAGCAGCCTCTGTGTGGAAGGCAGGAAAAGTGAGCAAGATTCTCTGATTCCAACTAGAGATAAAGGCAAAGAATATGGAGGCACCAGTAAAGCACAAGAGATACAATGCCTCATCCTTGAACAATTCCTACTCTAGACAGAAAAGGTCAATATGTCTAGCTAAAACAAGCGGCATCTTGTTAGTTGCTCTGAACTTCAATCACGTCTCATGGGACCCTAATTCCACGGAAAATAAAAATTATTTAGGCTTTTATAAATGGGAAGGCCAAGGCTTAGAGAAGTGAGTAATTTATTTAAGGTTATGTGATGGTAAATAGAGTAGCCAGCTCCAGAGAAGTGAGACCCTGCAATTTTCTTCCTGCATGCCAGACAGGAAATATTTCCAAATGTCATTAGAGAAAGTATTACTGTCTAATATTAAACTCATTAGGTAACCCAGTAACTACAAGGAAACTGTTTTCAGGCAAATAAGAGAAATGACTACTTTTCTGGAAGAGACTATATTGATCGCAACACAGTTTTTAAAAACATTTTAGATTTTAAAAACATGTTAGATTCACAACTAGGAACCATAATGGATTACTGGGATAAAACTAAAAGGATACAGAGGGTACATTTCTAAACTTGAAAAGCTATATGAAAAAAAAAAAAAAACACAAAGAATGAAGTTAAAGCAACATAAGGACATTTATATGCCTTCTCCGTCAGCCTAGCCTGTCCACCATGCAACCAACTTTTACAAATTAGCTACTAATGTCTGGTGCAGTCTCAGGTCTAAAGTAGCACACATAGTCCTCACCTGACCTCACTCTGGATCAAGTCTGTGAGACAAAAAAATTACAATGCTCTGTGGAAAACGCAGAGAAATGTTAAGAGTACTAAAGCAGCTTTGAGCAGAAAAGATGTTCTTAGTCTGTTCAGGTTGCTATAACAAAACACCATAGACTAAATGGCTTACAAACAGAAATTTCTCTCTCTCAGGGCATGCTGGCTCATGCCTACAATTCCACCACTGAGGAGGCTGAGGCAGGAGGATCTCAAGTTCAAGGCCAGCCCAGGTAACCTAATGAGACCCTGTCTCAAAATAAAAAAGGTCTGGGGTGCAGCTCAGTGGTATAGCACTTGCCTGGTATGTGCAAGGCAACGTTAATAATAATAATAAATAAAAGAAACATATTTCTCACAGTTCAGGAAGCTGAGAAGTTGTTCAAAATCAAGGTGTTGACTTATTTGGTGTCCAGACCAAATGTTTGTTCATATATACCACCTAGCTGCGGCCTCCCATAGGAGGGAACAAGCCAACTCTCAAGAACCGCATTTTTCTGGGCTTGGGGAGTGGTAATGGAGACTAAACATAGTAGTGCTTAACCACTGAGACACATCCCCAGTGCTTTTTATTTTTTAGTTTAAGACAGGGTCTCCCCCTCAGTTGTTGAAGCTGATCTCAAACTTGCAATATTCCTGCCTCAGTTTCCCAAGTCACCAGGATTACAGGCACATGAAATCATAACCAGCTCAGAGGTCTCTATTATAAAGGCACTAAATCTTTTATAATGGCAAGACCCTCATGCCCAAACCACCTCTCAAAAGACCCAACTCCTAAAAAAAAAAAAAAAAAGAAAAGAAAATACAAACTTTAAAAAAAAAAAAAAGACCCAACTCCTAATACTATCATAATAGGGATAAGGTTTTAACATATGAATTTGGAGGAACATAAACATTCAGACTATAACAGAAGGTCACCCTCTATAGGAGGCAGTCCAGGAAAGCTTCTTAGATATTTAGATTAAATCTTGCAAGGAAGTCTTTGAGTTTTCCAAGGAAAAAAAGGAGAAGTAAATAACGCAAAGTACACAGACATGACAGAATATGATGTGCTTGGAAACCAGTAAGTGTGAGTGTATGTGTTTATTTTGTGATGTTGGGGATCAACATGGGCCTCACATATGTTAGACAAGCACTCTATTACTGGACTATACCCTAGCCCAGCAAAGAAAATAAAGGGCATCTATGAAAACCCCATAGCTGGGGCTGGGGCTGTGTAGCTCAGTGGCAGAGCACTTGCATGGCATGTGTGGGGCACTAGGTTCAATCCTTAGCATCACATATAAATGAACAAATAAAATAAAGGCATTCTTTCCATCTACAACTATAAAAAAAAAAATTTAAAAAGAAAGAAAACCCCATAGCTAACAGAATAATCAATGAAAGACTGAAAGCTTTTCCCCTAAGATCAGAAAAAAAGATAGGGAGATCTGCCCTAGCCACTTCTGGTCAACATTGTACAGGAGGTTTAGCCAGAAAAATGAAGAAATAAAATGAAATAAAGGGTACTCAGATGCAAATAAAATTATATCTGCAGATGACACAACTTTATAAAGAGAGACTGTTAAGGAATATACACAGACAAAAAAATAACCTGTTAAATAGTTTTCTCTGATAAACAGATGCTAATCCATAGTGGGGGTGGGGAGTTAGGGAAGAATGAAGGAACTTTGGATTCTTCAGAGGGGAGTGAGGGCAAGTGGGGGGCAGTGGGGATGGGAAGGATGGTAGAATGAAACAGACATTCTTACCCTATATACAAGTA